TAATAATAATAATAATTTTAGAAAAACATATTTCTTAATAATAATTACAAAAATATTAAGAATTATAAATTGGCTATAAATTGCAACATAAAATTGATGCGAATGAAGAATAATACCTATGAGTAAGAGCATCTACAAAAAAAAAAAAACCTAAAAATAAATTTAGCTTAGTTTAGGAGTGCTGGTCCGTAACTATAATTGTTAATTTTTGATCTTTTAACATTCTAAATGTTGACAATTACTTAAAAATTTGGTTAAATACCCTTTTTGATCCCTCTACTATAGAAAAAAGCCTCTTTTTGATTCATGTACCGAAAAAATCCCCCTTTTGATCCTTACTATTTACAAATACAGTCCCTTTTGGTCATTCCGTTAATTTTTGCTTACGTGGCACGTTAACTTAACTGGAACAGTTGACGTGGGTATGCCAATGTGTAAAATATGCTTACGTGGACTTATAACACCCTCCACGTCACCCTCCCCTGCGTGAAAAAAGAAAAAAAAAGTTAAATGCTAAATTTAGTCCCTCAACTTTATAGGTTTACATTTTTTTGGTCTTTAAATTATGTTTTTCATTTTTTTTTATTAATTATAGGTTTTATTTATCTATATAATATAATAATAAATTATGTGACTTTATAGGTTTTTATTTAAATTATAATTATGCTAAAACAAACTTGATGAGACAGCCTTTTTTTTTCATGTGGCATTTTTTCATATTTAAATAAAAACCCACATAATTTATTATTATTATATTATTCTTCTTCTTCCTCCCTTCTTCTCTCTTATCCCTCCGCCCCTTCCTCTTTCCCAACCTTCTTCCTCCACAAACCTAGCAAGGGGGTTCCATGAGGAACCCAAGACCGGGGTTCACGAAACCCAAGACCGGGGTTCACGAAACCCAAATTTGGGTTCCCTGCGGAACCCAGTTGTTGGGTTCGCGAAACCCGCAAGGAGCCTTGGATTCTTCTTCTTCTTCTTGATCGAACTTTGGGATCTTCGTTCGGTTTTTGTTTGCCAACTTTTTTATTTTGTCAGAATCGAGGACTCACCGCCACTTTCTTTATGTTTTCCTTTAGTTCTTTACCTTCTTTCTTTCAATTGAAACGCATTATGTAGTTTAGATCATGTTTTCTTTGAATGTGTTATGAAATCGTGCTCGGTTTTGGTTGATTTGCTGTAGAATAACTGGAAGTATATGGAGATGGAATTTGGAGAGTGTTTTGAGTTGATTAGAAGTCAAATTCTACTTTGTTTTAAGGACAAAGAACCTGATAATCTTGATTTCTTGTTTTTAATGGATTGCTAATATTTGATTATTGAGGTAGTAGGGGATGATTTTGAACTCGTTGAGGAGTATTTCGACAATAGTTTGCTGACTCTAGATTTCTACAATGCCTTGTAGGGGTGGGCAAAACCGATTTTGGTCTAAAATCGAAACCGATTTTGAATTAATTGAAAAAATTTGGTTTTAATTTTACGAACCGAAACCGAACCAAAATTGTTATAAGTTAATCGGTTCAGTTACCAATTTTTATCAATGAAATCGGTTCG